GCTCCTAGCAACACTACGATCCTTGCTACATTGCAAGGGACGATCAGCAGCGGGTAGCAGGCAAACTGAGCGACCCCATGGGTACCACAATTCACTATTCAGGGCTCCGGGGTGAAATCTAAGGGTAAGAATATCTCTCTCTCTCGTCATTCTAAGAATTCATTTCCTTCCTCATACTTTCATTTTGATGTTTTTGTCGTTTTTCGTGCTTTTCTCGTTTCCAGTAGTCGTTGGAGGCGTCGAAAGTAAATTGAAAGTTTCCATTTGAGTTTTAGCACAAAATTAACGAGGTGAAAGTGAAGATTAAGGCATTGGATGGACAAATCTATTCCGAAAAAATCATGTTTTGGCAAGTAAAGCATATTTTTGGATTAATTCATGTTTTAAGCCAAAATTTTATGAAATCCTTTATTGTCTATGGGCTCTAGGTCGTCTATACGAGGTGGCCAAGTCAAGACCAACGTGTGCGCCTTCGTCATATGACTGCTTAGTCAAGCCAGGTGAAATAATCTTGTGCAAATTTAAGAAACATAGGAGCATTTAGACTTCTTGCATATTGTAGATTATTACCAGCTTAAAATGTATGAATGCAAGTTTACTTCTTTTACTACACATAGGATGCTATACTATATTATGATATATTACAGGTATTCATTTATAATTCATACATGTATATGAAATGTCCATGAATGTATATTACAAGTATTATGCCTTAAGAAATGCTACGAGTAATGTTATGTGTAGAATATTACATACAGAGATGTATTCACGACTCCTGATATTAATATGAGAGCGAAACTCTGGAAACCGTTGATATTAGACAATAACAGATAGTTAGGGAACCATGGGTATTAGGGGGCTGTCGATAACTGCTATGTTGGGATAAACCCAACCTTTATTGTGGTTTATATGACCGTTGAGGCAGAGGTGACGACCCGCGATGAAAGAATATGAATATAGTTGAATCTTGTACATTAAACAAGTGACAATATTATGATATGATCTCTTTTAAATAACATTGCTAGGATAATATATTATGAATATGCTTATGATTTCATCATTACGATCCACATGTTACATTGTACTTTTGATTTCCATAACTGCTTTCTTATGCCAGCATGCTATGATTTGTATGTAGACATGCACAGTTTCTACGAGAATGCAAGTTGTTTACTTTTCATCTATAAAATCTTATGTTAGCCCTAATAATTTCTCTAAGCTCGTTGTTTGCTCATTCTTCATTGTTGCCTCTCAGGTAGAGGCAACGAGCAGCGTGAAGAGTAGCTAGGTACTTTGTACAGCTTCTGCACGATAGTTTTGGAAGCTTTGTGCATATGTTTTTGGTACATATTTTTATTAAATTATATTTAGAAGCTCTGTATAGTTTTCATGTTTTGGATGATATGATATCCGTGTTTCCGAATATTTAGTTGAAATGCAATGTATCATGTATTTATGGCGATTCAATTAAACTAATTCATCAACTACTGCGTCCTGATTATAGAAGTCAGGACGAGTGATGAAGAGAGTTGATCTGACCATATTGGCAGCCTATATCGCAAAATTATTGACTCTACTAGGGTGGTTAGTTGAGGTGTGATAATTTCTTCTATTTCAACAAATCTAGATACATTCGGATATGACGATAATTATGTTATAACTCTTAAAGAGGTTTAAACAGTAAATAATTAAAGTCAAACGAGAAGGGATAAATTTAACATGAAATTTTAAAGTTTTATAAATAAATGAAATGTATTTTATTTGGTCATTCATGCATTGCATAACATAAAAATTTAATACATATTACGATTATAATTGCTCACAAAGTCAAACTTAATGTTGAATTTTAATTCTCTCTCAGGAAAAGAACAGTTACAGAATGATATGTTTGATAGAAGAGACTTGATTTAGAGGAGGAATACCATTGTTGCTAGGTATTTATGTTTGAACTATTTTCTTCAAATAGTTAGAGGCTGTTCAATATTGTTTGGGATGTTGTCATCAGATTATTGTTGTTGTTTCTAAATATTTTAAATTTAGTGCACTTTGAGGATGTTTGAGATTATTTTATATTTGGAAGTTTCTAAAAAATATGTGGAAAGTAAAAAAATAAAATGTTACTATTGTCCGACCGCAGTTCCCGTCTTAGTTAATACTAAGCCCCGGGTCGGGTCATGAAAATATCCAGAGTTAAGATTCCCAGATGCAAATATTTCCAAATTCCAACATCCATAATGCAACTTTAGACTAAACTGAAGAGAATGGGTCTGTTTGGGCTACCTGCAGCTTATTCAGATCAACAGTTTATCTTGATAATCTGCTGATCAACAGCTTATCCAGTTAAGCTGACCGGCTGTTTGGTTTATGCGTTTGGAAAACAACTGATTCTGGATAAATGTCCATTCTGCCCCTATTCTGGATAAATTGTTTAACTGTTTGATTTGTGCGTCTGGAAAACAACTGATTTGCAGTTTTTTCAAGATAAATGACCAGTCTGACACACAGCAGTTGTGCTCACAACGTTGTAGGAGAGTCATATTAGTTAAAATTAAGACAAAAACAATAATGAGCCATAAAACATGTCAGTCAACTAATTTAACCTCTAACTTGTCAGTCCACCATTCCTCGGAAGCATCAATGGTACGCTTAATGGGATCCCAACCCAACCCAGTAGATCCCTATTTGAGCTCTTTTCATAATTTCCAGTCTTTCTTCAAATGATCCCACTTGTTCTAGAATTTTAGCCTATCATATTCCTTTCCTATCAATTCTTTGAATTTCACATAAAAATGTTTGTTACTTCTTTATCCATAAAAATGTTTGTTACTTATTCATCTCATATTGCTGAAGGACCCTCTCTTTTCATCTTAGACATGTTGAACTAATAGAAGATGATGTAGTTAAACAAATTAGCTAAACATATAACAAACTAATAAACAAGTTAAGTCATTCTAGAATTAGAATGAAACAAAAAACGAAGAGCTTGGAAAAAGCAAAATAAGACAGAGCTATGCAAAACAAGACAGCTATGCAAAACCAGACAGAGAACTATGCAAAACAAGAAAAAGCTAGATGATCTTTTCATAGTCATCCAAAAACAAAAACTGATCGGTTCAATTGACAACTGTATAGGATGAAGGTACTGTTTTCACCAATTCAGTACACAAAGTGAACTGTTTCACTTAAAAAACTAAAAGATAAGGGTTAAAAATAAAATAATGCATGAACATATTTAATATATAAATTTTAATATTTACCTAAATAACACTTATATAAACATGAGAAGGTGTATTTTGCTTTAGCAAAGTTAATAGGACTTAAAACATGAAAAGGTGTATTTCGCTTTAGCAAAGAAAACCAGCCGTGGAATCAGAATGCTCAAATTAAGCAAATCAAACTTGCTAATGAGAAATCACAACTACCAAGACCACAAATTGTCCCCCTCCCCATTAAGCATTAAACTAGAAATAAATACAGTGAAATTTTCAAAAGAAAAGCAGAAAACTGGAAATAAATTAAAATTCAATCTTAAAACTTAACATTAAATTTTAAATTGTTCATGTCGTGGCCAAATATACTGTGCAAATTGTAAATAAGCAGAAACCGAGAAGAAGAGGAAATAAATGGAGAATGGAAGAAGCGGATAGCAGCACAAACAGTGGAGTATACATGGAGTTTACAGAACAATGGAGTATACATAGAGATGGGTACAAAAGACTATAAATTGTCCCCATCCCCATTAAGCAAACAATTGTCCCCATCCCCATTAGCACACCAAACATACCCTAAAATCCGCCAAAGCAAGCATATACAACTTGTTCATGATTATATTTAAAGCACAAGCCGTAATGTCAAATTTTAAACATTGCATCCAATCACAAACACCTTCACGCTTACCCAAACTACTGGTGTTTACAAATCGCACACCGAAACTTTCATACTTACATCTAAGAAGAAGCTAAGAGAAAATTTAAAAGCAGAAACTTCAAGAAGAAGAAGAAAATGCTGATGATGATGGAAGAGTTTATCTCCACTACCTACAAAAGAAGAAGACGGAAAAAGTAAATTGAATAGAAGAGGAGCGTGCAAGAGCCTAGGGCAACGCTCTACGACGAGGAGCTTCGTCTTTCAGTTCCCACTCGAGGGAGAAGAGGAGTGCGTGAGTGGCTAGGGCAAAGCTCTGCAAAGGGGCAAACGTGAGAAGTAAAGAAGAGAAACGCGGACCGCAGGATGAGACCCGCGGCCCACGTTAAGCTATTAATTGCGACGGTGTTTTCCAAACACCCCAGACACGTCTTCCAAACATTGTGACGCGTTTTCAAAACGCCGCAGCAGTGTTTCCGCTCCGCCAAGCGCACCCTAAATCGTACTTGAAAAATCTAATAGAAATAAAATTTAAAGTTCCTATTTCATTCCGATGTTCAGGTCCTGCAATGCATTTGAAGATTATTCCATATCAGACTTTGATGTAAATAGATTGGCATCACATTCAAAGTGGTGGTTTCAGGGGGATAAAATCGAGTAAGAATATCTTGATCTAAATTTAATTAAACGAGCTTTATAACAGACAAAATTGCAGAGAGATCAGTGCAATAGATGGTCAATCAAAATTTGTATTGCACTGCCACAAAATAAAGTTGATGACCATAAAGCACATATTGATTTAACTCAAATGTTCAAGTTTCCATACCCCGATCAGAAAATAAGAAAATCAATAGTTGACACATCATTGTCAACATTATTTCTCGTAGAGAAAAGAAAAGCAGTGAAAAGTAAAAAAAATATTAACCGTACCAAGCTGATCTCTGAATCTTTAATAGACATAGTTCATATAAAGGATACAATGACGTAAAGAACTTTCTGTGGATCAATTTATGCATGTCCAGGGAGTAATTCTTCTGTGGATCAATTTATGCATGTCCAGGGAGTAATACAGAGCAACAAAAAAAAAAAAATAAAAAAAAAACAAACCAGAAACAAAAGCATTACAAGTTGAATACCTGGAAAAATCAAAGAAATTGGCCATGATTTTAGGATCTTGAACAATATAATAAAGTCATCATCGGCAAAAGTACTGCTATGGTAATTTTCTGTGTCTTTTAATATATTTACAATTACTGATAAGCTTGATAACTCGAGCTCTGACAAAGATGATGTGTTATGCTCCTGAAAAATATCATCGTGTTCATCAGAAACTACACAGTAAACATAATTCTGCAATCATCATAATATAATGAAGAAACCATCAAAACTAAGTTTTATTTAATAAAAAAAAGTCTATATGAGATCAAGGTCAAACATCACATCACTGATGAAGTGTATCAAAATCATGGTTGCAAGGTAGGCTTCATAATGACTACTGGATTATGAATGAATTATCCAATTTCATGTTTTTTGATTCCAACTCACAAGAACCTATATAAAGCTGTTTCCCTTTCGTATAGATAATCAGATTGCAGCCAAAATTTTAATAAGTGAACCTTCTGAGAATGATTTATAGTTAAAACTTATTGGCAATATAAACTCAAGGATAATAAAAATAGATATTGTGCTGAAATATTTCTGAATATGTTATCAACTCCTTTCCATCAATAGCAACCTAACAATCAATGATCAATAGCTTTCCACCTACAACAATCTAATAGTCCGAGAATAGCAACTTTACATATAATATTAAAATTTAGCTGACGTGAAGATAATTTTTTCAGAATTTTTATGCCCCATATTATTCAGGAATTCAAAATAATTACTAGTAATTTTATATAATCTTATACTTAATAACAATTATATATATATATGATACCTTAAGTGTAATTAAATTTAATTAAAACTCAACACAATGGTACAAAAAGCACACTAACCAACGAACAAAGAGAAAAAAACTAAATAGTAATGTTATAACAATTAATAATCTCTCCAATAACACTCAAGTTTCTAATGGACAGAGCCAACTCAGAATAGTTTCAATGCAGTCAAGGAGAGGGTGATGCACTATCAGATTTCAACCACTGTTTGAGGTAGAGTGTGATGCACTCGACATAGGGATAAGAGCACTTTGAATGATTCTAGAAGGAAATAGTCGAAGATGACAAAGAATTTTATGTTATCGTGAGAGCTCTTGAGCACTGGAGTTATTACCTAGTTCACGTTTTTCACGGACTACGAAGCCTTAAATTTTTTAAACAACTAGAATAAATTGAAGGCCCGACACCCAACTTGAGTGGAGTTCTTAGCATTGTTCTACTTCATGCTGAAGCACAAGGCGGAAAGTTTGGACCACTTCACAGATGCACAGAGCCGCCGTCACTTATTGATCACTACGATTGAGGCCCAAATTTTAGACTTTGAGATAGCAAAAGAGCTATACGTGAAATACGATGATTTTAGAAAAATCTGGGAGCAATGTCAGGAGAAACCTAACAGACAGTACCACAGAGCTGATGGGTGCTTGTTCTATCAAAGAAGTTGTGCATTCCTAGATATTCGCTAAGGGAGTCAATTGTTCAGGAAAGCCATAGTGGAGAACTTGCAGGGCATTTTGGCTGGGACAAGACTCACGTACTCATGAGATGATAATTCTTTTGGCCTCGACTAGCAAGAGATATGAAACGACACGTCAAACAATGCTGGATTTGTCATGTCGTAAAAACCAATGGAAAAAATACAGGACTATACACCCAATTACTAGTACTAGAGGCAAGGCGGGTGGATGTTAGCATGGATTTTGTGTCGGGCCTTCCAAGTACACAATGAAAAAAGGATTCAGTTAAGGTGTCGTGGTAGATTGATTCTCGAAGATGATGCATTTTGCACCAGACCACCAGAAACTGGATACATCGTATGTCGATGATTTGTACTTTTGGGAGATTGGAAGGCTACACGGGCTACCCAGGACCATCACTCCATACAAGAATGTCACGCCAACCTTTTCATGCAACTCCCCCCATTGTCGGCAACCCTCGAACAACCAGACCTGCTACCGTACGATCGTCCTACACCTCCATCTGCAGACACCACCCTTCCTCTTCACCGCAAATCTACTGAAATGCTTTCTTGAGAAGAATATCAAGTAGTGGTATTTAATTCTAGCCAGGCTGAGTTCACATACAACAGATCCGTGAGTGGAAGAATATCAAGTAGTGGTATTTAATTCTAGCTCAGGCTGAGTTCACATACAATAGATCCGTGAGTCAAGCAGAATCACAAGTATGAGGCACAGGTGAACAAAACTACGGGCTGCACCCCATTTGAGATGTAAATTATGCACGAGGAGATTAACGAGGATGCTATTGAATTACTACGGGCTGCACCCCATTTGAGATCATGTACGGGAGTAACCAGCTCACTCCACTTGAATTACTACCGTTCCTGGTGACGCAGGGATTAACGAGGATGCCGAGGAACGGGTGCACGAGATTCAGAAACTCCACGAGGAAGTTGAGAAAGAGATCACTAAAACAGAATCACAAGTATGAGGCATAGGTGAACAAAACAAGGAACATGTGACCTTTAAAGAAAGACATCTAGTATGGATTCGACAAAGAAAGAGATATTCCCAATAGAATCACTCAAAAAACTCATACATATCTTTCAGAATACCTTGGAAGCTTAATGATATGCCTATAAAATTGACATGCAAAGGGACTACAATCTTTCCAACACGTTCAATGCTGCGTACTTGACACCGTACTATGAAGAAGCAAAAGATTCGATAAAAGAAATCAAAACTCTCCTAATCCCAGAAGACTGACACGAGGCTAATTTGGTTGAACCCGCACAACCAGTTTAGCAATGGTGTCGATCCAGCAGGGGGCTGGACCGACACAACTATTTAAATAGGTGAGACTACTGCCCCATTTTCCATCTCCTATTCTAGCTAGTATTATATATACGCTATTCATGTGTTTTAGGGTTCAGTTCTATTTTCTGATTTCAAATATCTACCTCTAAGTGTTTTCCTCGTGTTAGGGATGTATTTGAGGACAGATGATGCCCTGACTGTATCCTATTTTGAGGTAGTGACAACCTCTACATACCCCCACGCCTATTCCCTCCCTGCACACAGTTTCATCTTTGCACTTACCTTTCCCTGTTTTCTGTGACAGATAGCCCCACTGCCCCCTTCCGCCGCCCCGCCTATTGCTGCTGGACCTCCCCTATACCCCTTTTTGCTGTCGTCAGCCTTCTTATGCAACTCCCCTTGCTACCGACGCCAGCCTTTTCATGCAACTCCCCCCATTGTCGGCAACCCTCGAACAACCAGACATGCTACCGTTCAATCGTCCTACACCTCTCTCCTCTAGCCACCTTATCTCTTGCCGCAACCCCCAAGACCACCTCTTGTTGTTCAGCTGGCTTCACCTCCTTCGTCCTCACCTAAGGGGCTCGTTTGGGCTTGTATTTCAGCAATAATATTTTTGCATTAAGTTATTTTTAGGGTTAACCACGCTATCAGTCAGCCATCCATCTCTTTGATGATAATAGCAGGGCAACAACTAAACTATTCTGGATTAAAAAAAAGGAAAGGTTGAATTATATTAAGATATAAGTCAGATAACTTGGAAAGAAATCAAGCAATCTAATGGGATGGTTTCTAGAATTATGATTCAAGATCTTGAAAAAGAAACTTTGCTACCCGACTCTTGAGCGTGTTAGTGAACAAATTCTTGTTGTAGTAACGTAATTGACGCGAACAACCCTCCCACTCTCAGTCCTGATACCACTCCTAAACCTGAGGCGCGCAAACAAATCCGGAGGGTCCAATTCAAACTATTCCAACCCTCATGAGCTGGCTGACACCCCCTCCTCTCACACCGGATGGTCCTATTTACTTTATTTAAATAATAACAATTATTTGGGTTAATCTTGCTTTGAGACATAAATAAGTTGTTAATATCTCAATTTGGGACTTTTGAGGCTTTGATTCATGCAATAGAGATAATTCTCTTATTCTTTCTTGTCGGAGTGATGTATCCTTAATTTTTTTTTGGGTGTCTGTAGCCAGATTGAATTGAAATAGTGAACTCTTATAGACATCAGAAGACCTCCGACATTGCAAAGGTAGAGCCTACTTGCAGTTTTCCATTTCTAAATTGCTATCCAACCGCCAAGAACCCCAATTTCTCAGCTGTCATCATCTTTTCACCATCATTTCTCATCTTAAAACTTACCAAATCCCTCCCTTGATCACCCCACCTAGTCCAATAACACTATGTTGGAGTCACTTGATATCAAAGTCCAAAAAAATTCTAAATCCGAACTGACTTATTTTCCCGAAATTTAAATCTTAAATCCACATAACCTAATTCATCAACTCTATCATCCATCCCTAACCCTAACAAAAACCCTAAACCACCACTAGTGATTTATTTTTCCCCACATTTAAACCTAAACCCCAGGTGGGAGAAGAGGCCATGCCACCAAGAAGAAACATGTAAAAAAGTACCTAGGAGCTTACAATATAAAATATGAAAAAAAAAATTTCAACTACAATCAAGGTTAGCAGAGCTTGAAAGGAGATAAACCAGGAAAACCACCTATAGCCATAATACTGACTCGCCAGATCAAGAGAATAAAGTTAATTTTTTGCAACAAGAAGTTTCTAAAGATGAAGACAGATGTTTGATTTTGACGGATGTTAGGATCCAGAAGAATTCATTGAGTCACTCCCAAAAGCGGAATAAATTTTTAAGTCCTTGGATATTCCTTACGAAAAGGGTTGAATTGACAATCATCAAACTCAGAAAGAATACTTTTTTGTAGTTGGAGAGTTTAAAGCATCTTTAATAGTGAAAAAGGAAAATTAATATCATTATATAACTTAAGATGAAAGAGAAGATGCAACACAATTACAATCCCTCATACTATTGGCATGATGTGTTACTAAAACTCCATAAAATGTATCATATAGATTTGTTAGAGCATATACGATCAAATTTGATAAACTTATTCTGAAATGTTAGTTAAAAGAATTAGAGGAGCATATAAAAACAAAATACCGTGGAGGATTGAAGCAAACTAGTGAAAATGATGTGCAACTACAACAGTGTTAGTCACTATTCCACGTACAAACTATAATTTTGAAAGTAGAAAAACAACGTTGTCATGAGAGAACCACCAACCCCTCTAGACAAAGCTTAACCTTAAAATGTTGCAATAAGAGCATA